GGAAATGACACCTAAGATTTGAAGGCAGCTTTATTGTAGGTTTATGGGTGCTGATTGAGATCATTCTCAAAATATCAGGTCCCGATCTCTAATGGTCTAAAGCGTTTATCGAACAGACTGGTTGCACTCCTGATTAGCTAGCGGGGTGAGACCATTGGTTACAAGACTAGATTAATGATTATGAAGCTTGTGACAATCAGAAGTCCTATGCCTTCAGTTATGTGCTCATGGTTATGGGGGGTCAGGAGTGTTATTACAGAGCCAGGAAGCAGCTGGAGAGCTAGGCAATTTCAAACGAACAAAGTTTTTTTTAAGAGAACAATTTTCTTGGTACAGTTTTTCCCTTTCAATACTAATTATTTTACCTTTGGGGAAGCATGTTGGTCATTCTGTCTCTATCTTGAGGCTGGGCCTCTAACAGATGTGCCTCCAGACAGTTATAATATGTTCTCATCTTTTGTACTGACTCCCTTGAGGGCCTAGCACTGTCTGACTGCCTATATTTTTACCTGACTTAGTTGTCTATAATATTCTCCCCTCTGAAGAGGCTCTCGTAACTGTCATGAAGGAGCAATGGGTGATGATCACTTTGGCTACTTCTGGCTATGGGGAAGGTTGTGACTGGCAGTTAGAGATATTCCCTAGAGAGTCCTATCTAAATGCCCTGCTGGGTGCCAGGTGTTCCTGTGTTGGATAGGTGTATAGATTTAAGTCTGGAGGACACAAGGTCAAAGAAATAGTTAGGTATTCATAGGCCAAATAACAAGATCAACATTGTATTACGAATACAATCAACAAATGTTTTACCAGGAAAGGCCAGTAATAGCTCCTCACAAAGAAGGTAAGGAGAAGGTCCCAGAAATCTTAGAACTTAATATGGCATGTATCTGTCATTTAATGTCTTGAACAACTATTGAGGTATTAGTAGAAGGATCAGGAATGTACATATAATACTTAGCTTTTAAAAATGCACAGGTAGGGCCAGGGTGATGGCTCAGTGGAATAAGCGCTTCCCTGGCAAGTACAAGGGCCTGAGTTCAATCCCCGGTTCCACAAAAAAACCCAAAACAAACAAAAGAATAAAAAATGCACAGGTATCCCCTTGTGTTGCTGTTAGGATGTCTTATGCCATCTGATTTTGGAGATCAGCTTGTCTCAATTTTATTTTTTTTTTATTTAGGAGAGACACCAGTCAAGGTGTCATTGAAGGCCCACTGAGTATAGTCAAGGCCTGCATGTGTTGCATGACATTGTCTAATCCAAGAGAAAAGACAGAGATAGAAGCCAAATGATCCTACCTGTGAACAATACTCTTAGAAAATTGATGTCTATAAGTTTGTAAGGTTTGCTAATGTTCTTTACACTCTTGCCTTGTAACCACACAAATCTCAGCATGCATCTCTATATATCTAGGGGATAACCAGGGCCACAAATTGGTTCTACAGGACCAATGAGTACTTTTTATCTAATTCTAGGGTGATTAAGCTAGTCTGTTGTAAAGCAGTCTTTTACCTATAAAGTTATGATGTGCGTACACTGCTCAAGGGTGTTGTCCATCTTGAGTATTTAGTAGAGCTGGGCCAATGAGGAGTGCTTCTTTTGTTTCTGACGTAAGGGAGCCTTTCTACAAGTTGTCCTATAATTGGAGTTAACCACATATAATAATTTCATATACCTTGTCATTTTTATGAAGGAACTCTCATCACAAAAAAGGGTCAAATCAAGGCAGTAATGTATTTTAGACTTTTGTTTTGGTAGAAAGGTAGCAGGGTCTACGGCTGGTCTTTCTAGAAGTAAGATTCAGTATTTAAGAAGTCAGTTGTCTTATAGTTGTAGGTTTTCTTTGGAAGAAAAAGTCTTGCCACATTGTGAGGTGTGTGTGTAGTAAGATCTTTGTCTAGAGTTAGCTTGGATGCCTCTGGTACCAAGAAAGCTATGGCAGCCACAGCCCTAAAGATGCAGGCCATGTCATTGTTACAGTGTCTAGTTTATGACTCAGGTACCCTATAGGCTGTTGAGCAGGTCCTCAGTCCTCCAAAAGCACTCTCAAAGCCATGCTCGGCCTTTTATTAACATAAAAATGGAAACTGTCCTTTTGGTAGCCTCAGTGCTATGGCATTTAGAAGTGCTTACTAAGTTTCTGGAATACAATTTTGGAGTCAGGTTCTCAGGTTAAAACACCAGTAATTATCTTTGGGGCTTCTTTTAGGCTGATAGAGCAGTTGTATGATCTCACTGTATCCTATTGTCCAAAGGTGACAAAAGTCTGCAATGTTCAGGAATTGCTTTAGGCATCTTATGGTCTTGGACTGTGGGAAGGAAAGTGTTGCCTGAATTTTCTTTTCTCCCCAGCCTTTAGGTTCCCTTAGATATGATGAGGCCCAAATATTTTACCTGAAGGCTGTAAAGTTGTACCTTAGACCTAAAGACTTTGAACCTCTGTCTGCTACAAAATTTATAAGGTCCATGACTATAGGGTTTTTCTGATGGGGCACATGACATTACATCATCTATATATTGCAAGACTGTGACTTAGGAAAATCTAAAACGTGCCCAGTTGTAGGAACGCACTTGCCCTAAAAAATGCAGACTGTCTTGAATGCTTAAAGAAGCACAGTCTAAATTTGTTAAGAGGTCTGATGGTGAGAATTTTTGAAAGCAGAAAGAAACTTGGAATCTATATGAAAAAAAAAAATACAAAAGAAGGCATCTTTTAAAACCTAACACCAAAAACTAATCAGTGTCTTCTGCAATTCAAGAAAGGAGAATACAGGTTGTGTGCCACTGGGTGGAGTGGCACTACTGCCATGTTTACGAATCTGAAGTCCTGTACCAATCTCTACTCTCCACTGGGTTTTTCGGCTCTCAAGATCAGGATGTTGTAAGGGCTGCTACAGGCCGTAAGTAAGTTTGTGCCCTGAGGTTGCTGATTACAGGCAAGAGTCTTTTTTAAACTTTGGCCTTAGAGGAAATCGTCTCTGGTGAGGAAAACTGTGGGCACCTTGAGATGTATCTATACCTGGGTAGCTCTTACACGCTTTCTATTTTACCTTTAGTTGTCTATACTACTAGGATTTTCTTTTGTCTGTACAAGTGGGAGAGAGTGTATCTGACCTGAGTGCACGTACATTACAGTATTTAAACCAGATAAGAAGCTCTCCCCCAAAAGGAGAACTGGATTTTGAGGCATAATCAAGGAGGAATGGGACAAGAGAAAGCCATCCCAGTTACAGTCTGAGGATTGTGAGAAATAGCAAGTTGCCTTCTCTCTAGTGACTTGCTTTTTGTGAAATATAACAGCTAGAAGGAAGACCAGGTTGAAACGAAGGACCAAGAGACGCATTCCAGTGCCTAGCAATAGGCTGGGGTATTTTTCCTCTGTAGTCATGAGTGCTCAGGGCTGCTCCCTGCAGGTGGCAGTCAGGTGAGTAGGAGAAGGCAGAGTTCCCCAGAGCCATTCCATCTCACAAGACCAACTTGCAAGATGCTCTGGCCCCTGGGACCTCCACCTCAGGGGGTAGTCTGACTCCCAGGGGTCGCCTTTGCACTCAGGGCATGGAGCAGGAGGCCTCTTTTCGTGACAATTCTTAGTCGCTTCTAAGGTGGCTTGCCTTTCGCAGCAGGAGCAGGTGAGTTTAGTCATGGAGCTCTTGCTAGAGCCCTGAGAATCAGACTTAAAAGAGTCCCTCTCTTTTAAGGCCACAACCAAGGCAGCCATTTTTCTTGGTCTCTGTTTTCCCCCTGCCTCCTCCTGGTCTCAACTATAAAATACTGAGGAGGTGATTCGTCACTAAAGTATCAAGCAAAAGGCATCATTTGTAGTTTTTTTTTTTTTTTTTCTGTTTTGTTTTGTTTTTAATATCTGAAGCTGTCTGGGTAATAAGCTTGTCTTTAAGAATAGTCTGCCAGGGGGCCTGGCCCTAGCTCAGGCCTTTAAGTGGCTGCTTCCACAAAGCTGTCAGCCTCAGGTTGCTGGAGTTCGAACCTCACACCTCTCCCGCTGGCCAAAAGTGCCCTGAAGGCATTCGAGGAACCAAAAAAAAAAAAAAAAAAAAAGAATAGTCTGCCTTTCTATCAAATCAGGAGGCCCTGATGTATGTTTCATCAGTGCCTCTTATAAATGGCCTAGGAAGGCAGAGGAGTTCTCATCTTTCTCTGGATGAATAGTTGACAACTTAAAATAACTGAAGGGCTTATTTCTTGGCCTTCCTAGATCTTTAAGAAGGTGTTATGTGAAAGGGTTTCCTAGTCTATTCTCCTGACCGGTTGGTAGGGCCAGTAGGGATCTTCCACAGGGACTGCATGGGCTCTAGGAGGAACTGGTTGTTCCTCTGACTGCCTGACTTCTGGGATTTTAAAAGTAAAAATAAGGAACTCAACTCTGAATATAATAGCAGCTTGTAATGCTGCTTGTCTCTCACTAGACATCAATGATTTTTTAAAATTATTTATTTATTGATTTATCTATTTATTTAGTACAAGGTCTCACTGTGCAGCTTAGACTCATAGTGATCCTCCCGTCTCAGCCTCCCCAGCACTGGGATTACAAGCATATGTCACCACGCCTGTTTTCAGTGGTGGGCTTGGCGCAGGGCCACCACACAGTACCGAGGATCAAATCCAGGTCCTTGCTCTTGCCAGGCAGGTGCTTAGACTGCTGAGCTATCTCCCCAGCCCTCAATGTTTGATTTAAGAGTAATGTGACATCTTTCCAGTCTGGTTCATAGGTCTGAGTAAGTCCCCTAAAGACCACAATGTACTTATCAGGGTCATCTGAAAACTTTCTCAGATCCTTCTTGATCTGTTTGAGGTCACCAGGAGAAAAGGACATGAGGAGGGCCAAATTTTTTATCCACCTCTTGTAAAGGGTATGGTCCTTGAGGAGCTTGAGCAAAATCTGATAGGGATATGTGGAGCCCAGGAGAAGCTTCACTTAAGGTTGGCCTGGAAGCTACACCCTCAGAGTCTGGAGGGTAAATGGGGGGAACCTGAGGCTGTTTCTAGTTTCACTGGGAAGTCAGTTTTTTCTGTGCGGTGTCAGGTTCAGCTGCTCATAACCAGGAAACCATTGCCCAGAACACAAAGCAGGAACATCACCTTTTGTTGTTGTTACCAGGAATCAAACTGAGGGCCTTGCACAAGCCGGGCAGGCTCTGTGCCACTGAGTCCCCGGCACAGCACTTCCACGTGTGTTCTCCTAGACAGGCAAAGTGATCATGCCTCATGTGACCCAGACACAGGGTATGTGGTCCTCAACTAAGATGACTTCCCTGTCTTCAGCATTAACAAACGCTCATTTTTTTCCCATAATTTTATTGAGAAACAAATAACAATGAGACAGTTTCAAACCAAATTGGTAGGACAGTTTCAATAATTAACACATTGCATACATTCTTCCTAGTGGTTAATTGCTGTACAAGATGTGGACATGGTATCCTATTTACAAACACTATTAGAACAAATCCCCCTGTTCATTAAGAGAATGTAATTACATGTTTATCCTAACCATTTTGAATACACAGATACAAAATTGACATTCATCTGTATCCCCTTTTTTGTTTAGTTCCGTCATTTGAATATTATAGGTGTGTGAACTCAGCAAAATATTCTAAAAGAGTCCAGTAGTCCATAATAGTATTGGGTCTTCTGCTTGACTGGCAATGTCAGAAGTTGTTGACCTGAGTCCCCTACAGCTCAACATAACAGCCTGGCTTTCCTTCTTATGCTTCGTTCTTATACTTTTCTGCTGGATGGTTAAGACCAAGGTAAAGCAGGACCTGCGCAACAAGAGTTGTAGCTTTTTGGTCTGATAAGGTCAGTGAAATCACCTCAGGATTTACATTTTCTATGGGCTCAATTTACATGTTCTTAGCTGTTGGACAGGAGGGAAAGGTTGAGATAATTCAGATTTCTTGCCTCTCTAAACTTCAGCAGAAATGTGCCTCCAAAAAAGGAAAGTACAAAGTGACTGGAAAGATCAAAAATTAGACCAGAAAAGGCTTTTCTATTACACTCATGGTGAGCTATTCAGACAACGTGCCATGAGTTGTCTCCTTCAGCCTACAAAGATAGGAGTGGGGAATCCAGGAGCTAAGATTGCATTCTCACAAGGGGAGACCAGATCAGAAAGGAGACTGAGGCAGAGGCACCTCCCCATTCTCCTCTAGAGGACAGAGAGGGGATTAGGCCAGCCTGTGCCAGTGAAGCTCATCCTGCAAGTCCTAAGAGCGGCTCCCAGGCTATTGTCCTTAGCTAGTGGTCAGGATCCCATGATTCATTAATGGGCATTTGTATTTCCTAAATTAAACTATACTTCATAAAAAGATCCACTTTACAGCATTCTATAAATTCACATTTTGAAGAGTATCGAAGTACATTAGGGAACACTCTGCCATGATTTTTCCATAGTGCTGTTGTCTCAAAAAAGATAACAAACCACAACAATCAAAACGGGTCAAGAGGTCAAAGAGCACTAGTAAATTTAGCAATTAGCAAAAGCTAAATACAGCATATATGAAACAGAAATGCAAAATCTTGCCTGCAAAAGTGAAATGTACCATCAAAGGAAGGTCATGACCTTCCCATGTTCTCAGTTTAAATGTTTCAACATTTTAGCAAAAAAAAAAAAAAAAATGTGTAAAAAGACAAGACACAAGCAACTGACAAAGATGAACATTTCTAACTACCAAAACAAGTCACAATCCAGGCTCTATGACACAAGAGCAAGCTCTTACCTCCTCCTAATTGTGTCACTGTGATCTCCAAATGATATAGGGGCAGTCAGATAACTCCTAACCTACTAAATGTCAGGTAGCCCCAAAATTGAAGAATCAATTTTAAGAAATAACAGATGTTAAGAGTAGGAAAAAGTTGGGGCCAATGAGATAGCTCGGTGGACTAAAGCATCTGCTTAGGCAAGCTTATGCAAGTGCAAGGACCGTGGTTCAATTCCCAGCACCACATGCTATGCAGCCCCTCCTCCAAGGCGGGCTGAGCCAGCCAGAGTCTGGGTATAGTAGCACACACCTGTAATCTCAGCACTGGGGAGTCTGAGATGCGTGTGAGACCCGTTAGCAACCAAATACATTTTAAAAACAGAGAGAGAGAGTAGGAAAAAGTTTATTGAGAGAGACAGAACCTGGGAGACAGGAGGGGATCCAGAAGTGTGTTGCCAACAAGCCCACACTTACCAAAGGAAGTTTTATACAGCAAAATCATGAGGTGGGTATAACATGGGTCAAAACTATGATCAACCAATAAGATTAAAAGTATATGGGGCCGGGGAGATGGCTCAGTGGAATAAGCGCTTCCCTGGAAGGCGCAAGGGTCTGAGTTCAATCCCTGGTTCCGCAAAAAAAAAAAAAAAAAGCATAGCTGTGTGAGTAATATTGATCTAAGGGGGAAGCAGGTCACATAGCAAGTGTACTTGGAAAGAACAAACTTTTTTAGGAAGGTATAGATCAGGGGGTCATGGTCACCCACCAGAGTAATGGAAGTCTACCAAGATTTTATAGGACCAGATGATACCAATGATCATATTCGCTGGGGAGGCATGTAGAGCTGGTCATTCTGTCTTTATCTTGAGGCTTGATCTTTAACAGATGTGCCTCCAGCCATGGCTGAAATGTGTTCTCATCTTTTATACTGACCTCCTTGAGGGCCTAGCCCTAACTGACTGCCTAGAATATTTCCACCTAACTTAGCTGTCTATAAGAGAAGAAAAAAAGGAAGGAGGGAAGGAAGGAAGGAGGGAAAGAAGGAAGGGGGAGGGAAGGAGGG